TATAAAGTGAGACATAAGACACACATTTTTTTGGAGTATTAAATGGTTATTATGTAAACACACATATTTATTGAAACTTTCAATCACAATCAATAAAAAGTGTATCTATTATAAGTTGTAGCAGCACTTTAAATAAAATGTATAAAATGGAGAGGCTCGATTAGAGAAAAGGTGGTTAAAATTCAAAACTGAGTGTCGTTTGGTAATGTTTACACAATCCTTTATTGCATACTTTATGCCAAAGACCCAAGTCGCATTACAACCCAAATTCTAGATTAACGAGTCCAAAAAGATTTTCAAAAATTAAATTGTTTTCCGGAAATGAAAATGTTTGTTATGAGATTTACGGTCGCATTATAAAAATCACAATTCATTGATAGGTATAATATTTTTATTCCAATCTTTAGCGGACTTGTATCTTTCAGTCAAGTATTTCATTTTTTGTTTATACTTGTCTGTGGCTCTCTTAAGGTTAAACTTTGTGTTGATTTTGCTAGCAATCATGTCCTCCCATACTTTTCTGTTATCTTTGCTCTCAAGCTCATCGTGTTTCTCTGCCCAAAGGCTGACTAGCATTGCTTGTTGATCGTGAGAAAACTTGTCATATGCCTTTTTGCCTTTCGAGGATGATGCCTGTTTGTCCAAGTCAGGGCTACTGCTTGTACTTGACTCGTGTTGGCTCCACTACATCCCGGCGAGATCGAGGAAGGTTGTACATTTACACCACTAGTAGACGCTTGAGACGGTATATAATTAGCATATGGAACGAAGTATGGGTTGTAATAACCTTGGTAGTCATTGAAAGCGAAGTAGTCGCGACCGTCCGCCATGATCACACAACAATAACGTGGACTCAAGTTCATACGTGAAGCGCGATATGGTAAAGGTTACCGTGACACGATATGTCATTGCCGGAAACGGTCTTCTTTGTTGTGAAAAATTCTCTCTGAATCTGCCTGCCCCACCCAAGCACTACGGCGTCTTTGAAGTTTTTGCTAGTTTAGGATTTTTTTAGGATTTGACAAAATTAGAGTCGCATTACAAAATGTTGGTTGCTGACAGRTATGGACAGGATTATTACACATTTTTTATCCAAAAATACTGTAATGCGACTTGGGCCAAAAAAGTTATGTTATGGACATTTCAAAAATGCAAAAAAAGGGGGGGACACAGTATTTATCAAAGATACGCCATTTTGACGGCGCGCGAAAGAACGATTATATKATTATCAATGTTTTAAACAAGAAGAATAGACAATAAAATTGTATTCTTTGTTATATCAGTGTTAAAATGTTAGCTTTAATTTCATCCAATTAACCTAAACTTCCATTTACTCACAAAGACCTGACGGCAAAGTTAACCTTTTTGAAGATTCTTTCAAGTCACGTATCTATCAGATAGTCAAAGATATCAATCTAAAAATCTGAACATAGTACGTATTATTACGTATTAAATAAGTAATTGAAGGAATTAGAGTGCTCTTAGTCCAACTGTTAGAGTGCTTTTAGTCAAACTGATAAAAACTTAGTTAACTAAATAACTGTTTAGTTGACGTCGCATAAATTAGTAAAAGCGCAACAAAGCAACCGTCGAAATAATCATATCCAATCACTTAATGTATCATAGGTTGTGGGACATACATGTGCCTTTCCTCATCACTTTTTTACTGGGCTATGGATCATTGTAAATTTTGACCCCCAAAAATAAATTAACAGACCATTTGTAATCTTACAGGCTCAAAATACAATTTTGTACCTTAACTATTAGGAAGAGTTTTTCAACTTCATAAACTTCAGTTATATAACAAAATTATCAACCACAAAATTATCATTTCCCTGGCTGGGATCCCTGCTTTAGTGTATCTCTAAAAGGACATTGTCACTAATAACAAGCAACCGGGAGTCGTAAAACCGGCTCCTGGATTTGTTTGACAAATAACCGTTATGCTTCAGCCAATTAGAGGCCGAGATTAGCGACGAAACGAGCAAAACGTAAACATTTTGGCGTTCGTCGTAAAATGTTCTCTTACGATTGAAAATATAATTATTTCTTACACTTATAGTTCTGTAATAAGATTTTCTCCGTACATCCCGCGTGTTTTGATCACAGTATCAAAACACACACACACACAAAACAATTTGGCATTTTTCAAATCGATACCGATTCAAGCGAGCCTCTCGCTCAACACTGACAGCGTTCTGACCAAAAACGGCCTTAAAAATCACCAAAAAAGCCTCAACCTTTGCTGAGAGTACGATATTTACATACACATGTGTTCCATCTTTCTTCTTAGCTCATATACAGAAGTTTAATCAACTTTTCAACAATTTCTCAAGCCGAAAAGAATCGACATAGCCGTTTGACGAAAGCCGGTGTAAACAACGCGAATCTAAATCAAGCCGCCAATGGCAACACAACTCGAAGATTAATTGTGTAGACGAATAAAGAACGATACGATGAATCGAATGATAATTACTTTTTTTCGTTATATCTGATTAAAAATCAACAAATCAACATCCGTTGACAATGAATTAATTTAACTTTGGTTCTGGATAGCGCCGGCGATCGATATAATGATATAAATCCCATTCAGCATCCAAAACTATGTAAAATCACCCGCAAGTGTCAAAAAGCAATAATAACAATCCCCATGAAACACAACTTCGCCCGCAATCAACAATCGATATCTCGTGAGTTCAATTTTAAACAAAAGAAACTTCAAAAATTTGATCATCAAAGAGTTTGTAAGCTTAAACGTAGCAATGATTGAAAAGGTCAGTAGACGAAATATGTTTCATTGAAAGTCTTGGTTTTGTGTCAAACAAGAAATTTGTTAAAAAAAAAACAAGTTAACATGTATTATGAAACAGTCAAATAGTATGCGGTTTAACAAGGCAAAACGGACAATTTCTTAAAATATCTGAGTCTGTCTGAGAGAAATTTGTGTTTTTGGTACATTTTTGTTATATCACAAGTGTGGTCATTTTATTAGTAATCAACCTAGGTAACAAAGAAAATGTCAAAGCAAGTACGCAAAGAAATTTTGCATAAGTATCTATAGACAACAGATGTTTTGCAGATTATCATATTCTTTCAAAAGCACATGTTTTATATTTAATTAATAAGTGTTTGGACGTCGATGTATAAAGGAGTACAAGGAAGACTACAGTCTCTTTGATTGCGAGCTGCGTAGAGCTGGAAAATCTTCATTGTTTCATTTCAATATTAACTTGGGTTCTCGATAAGCACAGGCCATCACCTTCGTACAATCATTTTCGAAACGAATTGGAGGATCGTCCAGTCTTCTTTGCTTGCTTTTCGGCCTTTGTGACTTTGTGACGGTATGTCAAATCAAATTATAATTATTTTTCTAATAGAATTGTACATGATTTTATGAATACAGTTTTCTTTTTCGTTACAATCTAATTATTTTTAACTTTGATTTTTGACAACCAGGAACGAGCACCTGCAGTTTGAAAGACAAGTCTAACCGCGTGGCCGAATGGAAGCCGTGTCTTCGATTTCCAAAGGCCCGTTTACACTTGCAATTTTTGCAGCGCGATTGTCGCGCGACAATCACCACTTTGCTCTCGCGCACCTCAAATCGTACGTGTAAACAGCCCTGCGATTAGAGACCTCAAATCGTACGTGTAAACAGCCCTGCGATTAGAGAGGTTTAGCATGATGTTCACGGTAAACGTCAGAAAAGATCACGTTTAACATAGCAGTTTCAACGCGAGAGTGGGTTATTTTGAGTTTGCCATAATCCTGAAAGGCCGCTCTTTCCAATAACTACCAAAAGCATACGACCAGGCACAAAATTCTTAAGTACATTCGGTTCAGTTCTGCCGTTAGCCGTTTGCCGTTAACGTGATGCTTAAACTCTCTATTGTCGCGGCGATGCCGCTAAATTTCAAGCATGTTCGAATCTATAGCCGATTGCGCGCGACAATCGGGCTGCAAAATTTGCAAGTGTAAACGGGCCTTAAAGCCCCTTCTACACAAGCAATTTTTATGTGACAACTATATGTGACAATTTTTTTCCGTGTGGGCATGCACCAAATAATTGTTCAAGAC